ATCCTTATCTCAACCAGCAAAAACCCTTGTTCCTTCCTATTACTGCTTATACTCTCTCTTCAACAAAATTAGAGATAAGGGCAAAATAGTTTCTGCCAGGTATCAAGGGGGTGGGGGGAGCGGGAGGGGGCACGGGGAGGTGGTAATGGAGGGGGTTGGGGAAGGGGGGAGAAATGACCCAAACATTGTATGCAACATATGAATAAAAAAAAAAAAAAGAGTCATCATGGACCCTCGGAACCCAGACTGCACAGCCAGAAGGCACTGGGAGCTGCTGACAAATTGCAGCTGCTGAAGGGGTGTGAGGGTCCTGCATTTTTCACAGGATCTAGCTGGTTTCTAAGAACATAAATTTGAGAAAACGCAGCTTTAAGCAAGTCCCTCCTTTTATAGGTCTGAAGAGATGAAATGATTTATTTTTTTTCTGCAGAGTCAAAGTGACTTAGTGTCTGAGCCACATGCCTGGGTACCCATTAGCCAGTGCCTAATGCCCAGAATTGTCCCTGGTAATGACAGCAGAAAGACAGGAAGCTGCTGTATAATAGGACCATTTTGTGGGCCTGAGAAACCACGTGCTTTTTTCTTGTGGCCTTAAAATGTGATCCAGTAAATTCTACATGTAATATTTATGAGAATCAAAGTCTTTGCTATCAGATACGGTCCCACAGGTGGCTCTTTCTTGTTTCCCCAAGATGGTGGGGGGCTCCCCTCACACAAAGCAATGCATCCCTACATTGAAGACAGTCAGGAAGGGATTCCCTCTTCCTGTGTCTGTGGTGCTGTTGCCCTCCACAGGGGGAAAAGGCAGGAAGTAGGCTGTGGAGTTGCAGAAGCGATTAGAGGGGATGGGAGACAGCTCCACCTAAGGAGAGAAGCGTCACTGTCCTCAGCTGCCTACCATATAAGCAGCAGGACCTGGGCAAGAGCCTGAGGGTGGAAGCATTTGCCTGTTTCCCAAACTAACCACTGAGACCAGTAACATTCCCCCCAGATGGGGCTTTTCTCTGTCTTAGCTGGGGGAAATTCCCAAACTGCTGCCTGCTCCTACTGGGCCCTAGGACTTCATAAAGGGGGCTCCCCAGACCCCAAAGATGGAGATCTTTCTGACTCACCAATCTGCCTCCCTTTTCCCTTGGGTTTGACCCCTGTGTCTCATCGTCCTCTGACTGGACACCTGCCCTGGCCCAGGGGCATGTGCAGCTTCCCAGCTTTCCCAGACCTACCCACACCCTGCTATTGAAACCCTGCTTAGGTGCAGAGCCCTGGGTCCCACCATGCTCTGGAGTGGGACAGTTTCCAACACAGTGACGTGATAGAGAAAGGACACCCAACCCTGTTCTGTACAGAAACTGTGCCTGCGTTTTTATGTTTGAGTGCCAACAGCTTTAAGGCTCATCCTTGCCTCTTCCCCTGCTCCCCTGCATCTGGGCAAGTTCAATAAGCATGCTTATGTCTGTCCTTGGCCCCTTGCTAAGAACAAACCAGGCCAGCTGTAACCCCAACCAGGGAAGCCTTACCTTGCCCCCAACCTGACCACAATAAAACCCTGAAGCCATTTTCTGACTTGCTGGGTGCCTGTCCTACTTTCCCCAGAAAACTTTACCAAGTAAAATATCTTAGCACACTTTTTTTGGTGTGTGTGTTGCAACCTCAGTTTGGATATCTGAACTCAATTTTTGGTTACGGTAGAGGTTGGTCCTAACCTTCCAGGTGAGCCACCAGCAGACAGTGTGTGCCCAAGCAGGGACCGTAGGCAGTGACCTCCCCACCTGGCCCTGGCTTGCTAGCTGGCTGTGCTGCTTTACTGGATTGTAGCACGCCTCTGTTAGTAGATTGAGAGCTTGTTTGGAGGTTCTAGCAGGGGAGCGCAGCTATTCGTATATCCTTGACTGAAGACTGAAGAACCATCCTCCTCTATCGGGGAAGGTCATCCTTTTCGACTGAGCACGCAGCTTCAGGAGGGACGCACATGGAGTGATGAGGGAGGAAGGAGACACCCACCTAGCCAGCCAGATCAGCCGAATCAACACTGGTGATCAATGGGGTGACAAATGTTGCACCCAGATCACCTTCACATCCAAATAAGATACTTTGTATTCACTGGGATTTTTTGGTGGTACTGGGATTTGAACTCAGGGCCTCATGCTTGCTAGGCAGGTGCTCTACCACTTGAGCCACTCCACTAGCCCTCTGTTAGTAGACTGAAATGATCAAATCAGATGTTGTCACTTTCCTTTAGGCACAGGAGCATGGGGTTGGGCCTTTCTTTATAGTAGCCATGTGTCAGTACAGATTTATTTGCAAGTCTCAATTATTAGTTGTGTGTCTGGATTATAGCATAATCCATGAGTGACCCTAGGCTCAAAGGTGTGAATGCTAATCTGTGGCCATTGGTTGGTCTCTCTTGTATGGAGCACTCAGGGAAAGACTGGTAACCCATGTAATATGTGGGCCCATTAGGTGATGGCTCACGTAGGGACAAAGCATGAATCTGAGTCAGACTGCTCCATCAGGGCCCCCAGGGACTCATTCTCTGTAGCAGCCTCCTGTCATGCCCTCTGGGTCTCTGGACTACTGCATTGGTCATGGATTCTGGTACTTCTCCCTTTCCCCCCACTCCCAAATGTTCTCAGCTCCACACCATGGGCCACTGGGAGCAGCACCTGCCACACGCAGGTTCTTCTGGAGATGGAGGCTCCCAGGCCCCGGGTGCCCATCATTCCTTGGTTCATGAGAGCAGCACCTCACAATACAGTCACAGAAATGCAGGGTCAAGCCTCCTTGCTATTCACATACTCAGAGCTGACCCCACTGACACAGGGTGCACTGCAGGACAGCACCATGTGCTGGCCAGCAAGGCTGGGGGAAAGGCCTGCCTTAGTCCACTGCTGGTCAGAACCAGCCTTCATTCTCCTGATCCTGTTGGGGTCCCCAGCAGGTGGGACGAGGAGGCCGGATCAAGTGGTCCTCCTGTACTGTCATGTGGCATTGTAAGGGTTAGAAGATATTGTGACATTGATCCTATTAACTAATGTTCTGGATTTTAAAGACCTTTATTTTATTCTGGCTACAAAAGTAATAATTATAAAAATTCTGACTACGCCTAAGTACAGAAGTAATCCTATCCCAGAATAACCACTGTTGATTCTTTTAGATATTTTTTCAGTCATAGGCCTATATAGTCACGTAAACTGAGCTGAGCTCCTTCCACACACATCACTGCCATGTGAGCTTCCTGAAGTTCTCCTGACCTAAAGCCTTTTTTTGGTGGCTTTCCATTGACTGAAGAGCCATGCCTGTCTTAGTACATCTGCTTTGCTACAACTTAAACATCATAGACTGAGAAACCTGTAAGGAACAAAGGTTTATTCTGTTCACAGCACTAAAGGCTTGAAAACTCAGCTTTCGGTGGCCTCATCTGCTGAGTTCCAAGGCAGATGAGGGCATCACAGGGCAAGACCGTCTCACAGAGCCACAGTCACCCTGGATGAGGACCCCACCTCTGTGGCTCATTTAACCTTAGTTACCTCCTAAAAGCCCCACCTCCAAATGCCATAGTTGGATTAAGTTTCCACTCTCTTACTAAATCACACAGGAGATTAAATGTGGACATCACTTTTGGTGGGAATATTCAAACCATAGCAGTCTGTAAGAATCCATGTATTTTTTAAAAAGTTGCTCTGTTAATATATCTGCTTATTTTATTTTGTAGATAGAACGTGATTATAATGCGATACTGAGAATCCCTAATTTCAAGGTATTTTATATAAGCATAGAAAAGATTGTTTATGAAATAAACGGCGTGGGGTGGGGGAGACCATTGCTTTAAACTTTGAATGCATGCAGCTGAGGGTCAGGTGGCTCTCCCTGGCAACGTAGGAGACACACCTATGCTGGAAGTTCACACCCAATGGGCAGATCATGAGTGGTACCCAGCCTGAGAGCTTGTCCAAGGCATAAAGCAGCTTGAGAAAGAGAAGTGAAGTCAATGGATGCTCACACTGGAGGAAGGCTCTACAGAGACCAAATTCATTTCCATTGCACTGCTAGTGACGGAAGTGTGCAGCACTGAGCGGTACTTGGTGTTCAATCAAGGGTGGTCCTCCTGTCCTTTCAGACTTTTCTTGTCCCTTTCAATCTTGTATTTGCTTTTCAAACTAGAGCATTCTGTTTCTGACACCTGTGCTTTGCACTCATCCCCATATCCAGATCTTTTTCTAAAACACATGGCCATCAACAGCTTTTATTCTAATTTTTATTTTAAATACTTATTTACTTTCCCATCTTGAATGACCTGTGAAAACAATGGCGGTGTGTGCACCTAGCCATGTGCGAATGCAGCTGTGAAGAAGTTGCTCTGTCCACAGGGAAGAACCTTGGAGCTGGACGCTCAGAGGCTGGAGGCCTTCAGAACCAGAAAGTCTGCCAGGAAGCCCTTGGGCATGGTAGGAGTTCACCTGCTAGTTACCTTTGTCTTGAGATTTATTTTTGGAGGACAGAGCAAAAGTCCCTCCTGAAAGAGAGAAGGAGTTGACAGAGGAGGTTATTCTGGCTTTTTTTTTTTTACATAACTATCAAAGTTCCCCCTTCCTGGACAGCATACTGGATCTCAAATCCAGTGTGTTAAAACAAAACAAAACAAACAAACAAAAAATCTAGCTCCTTCCCTCATCAGTTCTTCTTTTGGATTTCTCTTGGTGATAAAATGTTTTCTGTCTCCATTACTTAAATGTAAGACCAAGCTCTGCTTTCCCAGTCCTTCCCCCATGCCTTCCTTCCCTCCCATCTCCTCCTCTTAGTGTTTCACCCCTGTGATCAGAGTTGAGTATTACTGAAAGGCTTTGTGCTAGGCTCCTGGGATCACAAGGACTAGTGCCCTCCAAGTTGTCACAAGACAGGAATAGACTGCCAGAGAAGTACGGAGGAGAGACTGACCGCAGACAGGGTGGACTGGAAACACATCACAGAGAGTCCAGATGAGCTGGGCCTCAAGAGGTATTTATTGGGTAGAGGACACAGGGAAGCTGTTGCAGGTTCTGTGCCTTCCTTTTTCCAAGCCTCCCAGCCATGCTACCCCAAACCACCAGGCTAAGCTTCTTTTTTTTCTTTTTGGTGAGACTGGGGTTTGAACTCAAGGCTTCTTACTTGCAAAGCAGGCTCTCTACACTCGAGCCACATCTCCGGTTCATTTTGCTCTTATTATTTTGGAGATGGGGGTCTCACGAACTATTTGTCTAGGCTGACCTCAAACTTCGATCCTCCAGATGTCAGTCTCCTAAATAACTAGGATTATAGATGTTGCTACTGGTGCCTGACTCAAGCTAAGCTTCTTAGATATCTCCTGACCCCAAAATGAATTTAAAATTCTCACCTACTTTATTTGTATTTCAGGTCTTCAATCTATGTTCTTAACTCATCACCCAAAACTTTTTTCTCTGAACATTTAGCTCTTTCTAAATTATCCTGTTGAATCACAATGGGCACACACTTCTGACCTTCCACTCACCTGTCCAGGATTTAAACTGTCACCACTGTGCCCCTGGTCATTAGAATACCTCTATCAGTTGTCTTAAGGTCTGTCCTCCACAGCGTACACTCCGCTTCCAGCATTTTGAGCTTGCCCTCTTCCCTTCAACGGTAAACTCATTTATTGTGAGCCAAACTCCCTCCTCATTCTGAATGCACTTCTCTGAGAATCCTAAAAGGAAAAGACATTCTACTCCAAGATTCATCTTGACTCTCTGTGAATTTATCCCACACCTCTAAGCTCTGAATTGTGGCACTCCATCTTCCTAGCTCAGGAAGATGCCTGGGGGGGCAGCAGGGGAGTTGGGTTCTTCTTCTCCTAGCCTGAAGGATACTCTACAGCCTGGACTTATCAACAGATGACTTCATGTGGGACTGTAGAGGCCTGGTTTCCAGGCACACCATGACATGGAAAGGGTTGCATTTCTTTCTCTGCAGCCTGCCTAGTAGGGTCCATTTCCTGGTCAGTTACACAGATGGGTACTCTTTTCTCTTCTAGCCCTTCCTCTATGCAGGGATTCACAGAGCAGAAGACCAAGGAACTCACCTTGTTTCATTTTCTCCTTATATAAAATCCCCTTTGCCTCACCACAGGTCACAGGAAGTATAGGACTGAGAAAATCCACAGTGTCGTTGTTGGGCTTCCCTGAAAGTAGAAGAAAACAGTGTGGTTACTTAATCTTCACTTGCTCTTCCTCTCAATTGCTTGCTTCCCAGGAATTCCAATAATAATCAGAACACATATAACGTAAGTGGTACTGGAGCAGATCCTCTGGTTAATCCACAGGAAGTCTTCCATTCTGAGTGTCAGATTAGCTATGTGAGCAGAGAGGTCCAGTGAACAAGCCATCTCCATCCCGACATTAGACAGAACTTTCTAGTGGAACACACAAGGCTTCAATGGAATGATTTAATGTGCAAGCTGATTGGTCATCCCCTAGTGTTCTCTGGCAGTAGACGCCAGCCTGCTTGTCTTCCGTGCTGATGCAAGTTGCCTACACCAAATATTTATGTTCTTATAGCCAGAGAAAAAGTCACTGTCATCATTTTATTTCCTGATTCAAAGTAAGACTCGGGGAAGTGAGAAGGTCAAGCAGTGAGGGATGGTGTCAGTCTTCATTATTGCTAGCACTTTTCATTTTATTGTTTCTTTATTTCTTCCTCTAGTAATAAAAGAAAATTCTGGCAAGTTCTAGATTAATCTGCAAATTATGAATGGAGAGATATGGGTGCTCAGACCTCAGAGTAGGGATCTCGGGTTTAGACTCAGGAGAAGCAGTTGCAAAAGGATTTAGAATAGACACCAGCAATTCCTCTTTCCTTCCCCTCCAATCTCACTGTGGGTGAAATTATTGCAGGTGTCCTGTTTTGGGGGAGAGAGAGAAGAGGAAAGGGCTGTCTGTGTCTTATGTTGAGTTAGAGAGACTGTTACACCTACAGTGAGTCAAGAAGAATATCTGGTTCGACTCTTTTCTCTTGCCTCAAACACTAATTAAAAAAGGCAAAGGGAAATGTATCAAAAATCAAGAGTGTTGTTGTAAAAATAAAATAGTGTCAATGGTAAAGAAGCCATTAATTACTCTGGAAAGATATGAGGGAGGGGCCTCTGAGAAGAGGGGCATGGTTTCTCCAACACAGCTCCAAAGGGTGCCCACCCATGGAGAAGCAGGTGCTGGCAGTAAGGACAGGCATGCGGTGGAGGGTGGGAAGAACTTTGTTCTAACAGTGAGCCAGTGCCCTCAATGGATGATCCAGCTCCCCAACCTGTCCCTAGGATCTACTTAAATTCTTACAGTGCAGCAGCTGAGAGCCTGGCCCTGAGAGCCAGAGCTGAGGGTTTGTAATCTTGGCTTTTCAGGATCCTTCCTAGAAGGATTACCAGTGTGCAGTACTGTCATCCAGTTCATGTGGGAGATTTGCTGCTGCCAGTTCCTAACTCTGATGAAAGGCAGAACTATGAGTAACCTGTGACCACCTTATAAGCCCTGAGGGTGATTAGCACAACCCTGGGGACCCTCCAGTTCTCTGTCTCCATGGAAATATCTTCCCTAACTTCCTATGGTAAGTGTAATGCCAATGGGCACAGATGTCCTGGATGTGCTCACAAGTAGATGAAAGAGCAGCAGGTGGCTCTGGTGGCAGCCAACATGCAGACTTGTGGCATAAGCATCACTCCTTCCTTCATCTGCTCAGCCAGGTCACCAAGTGGGTGCCTTTAGGCCTAAAGACTTCCAAAGCCGCCCAATCTGCCCCCAAAACACAGCTTTCTTGTCTGTTCCCAACCATGATGAGTTTGGCCTGGCCTCAACTACACATCTCAGCAGACAGGTCTTCAAGGATGGAACCCTGCGGCCCAGGAACGCCAGTTTGGGGTCAACAGCACCAGCCAGAACATTTTCTAAGGGGGATTAACAGAAGCAATTGACTTAGATCACATTAGTGAGTGGGAGTAAACAACCAGGAACCTGTAGGTAAGCAATTAAAGAACAAAGAGAGTTCATGAGTGAAAGCACAGAGGAGGAAATTAAGAGAAAGCATGATGGAGACAAAGTGAAGCAGAATGGAAAAAAACAAAAACAAAAACAAAAAACAATTACCAAGTAGAAGTCTAATTCCCAGAAATCTTACAGAGCACAGGGAAAACGTACAAGGTGAAAATTGTGCGCAAGAAGAGGAGAGGCCCAGGGATGGTGTGGGAGCTGTGTGACCTAGACTGAGGGGTCTGATGGTGTGAGCGTGAGATGGGGTGGCTGGAGAAGCTGGAGAAGGAAAGAGCAACAGCGGTACACATTGTATCATTCTCCCTCACAATCACGTGTAAGGAAGAGAGGGCAACCGTCACCCTCCTTTTATAGATGGGACTGAGGCTCAGATTGGAGGAATTAATGGCCGTCACCACGATACATGAAGTGGAGCTGGCACTGAATGCAGACATACCCTGCTCCTAGTCTAGCTCTTCCTGTGCCGTCAGAAATGTCTCAATGGGACTCCATGTCATGATAGATAACAGCACACGAGTGACTGGCTTCCTTGGGTATTTCAAGAAAAAAAAATTATGAAGCATCTAGGCTTGTTTACTTGTTTAGTGTAAAGAACAAAGGGCTCGGAAGAGGAACCACCACGGTTGATTTTAGCTTATGCAAGTCTTTTACCCTTTATTTGAATCTGTAAAATGTAAAGATAATGCGGATTAAATGACAAGATGTAAAACACAGTGCTTTGCCCGTGTACCTACTTATCTTGTTATCAGGGCCTCTGCATAGTAACATGTCCTCTGTGGGATTCCTCCCTTAAGGGGGTGCTCTGATTCAGAAAGTAAGCTTGCTTAGAACAACGGCCTTCCCGCAGAGGGCAGCAACGGGCTTGGTTCAAGGAGCAGCAGACAGATGCAGGCGGTGTGTGGGAGAGCTCACACACCTGCTTTGTGATGCCTAACGTTGGCCTTCATAGTTGATGAAGAGCATTTTGACATGCGAGTTACTTAAGCATAAACTGTGTGAGGCCCAGAGGAGCTGGACATAGAGCCAGGAGCAAGATTGACCCATTTTCTGACCTCATGTGACATTCACACAGTAAACAGGAGGCACGCAGGTAACTAGGTACAGCTTTGAAAAGTGCCACGAAGAAAAACTACAGGGCTCCATGAGGGTGTGGCAGGGAGGCCCACCTGGCCTGCTGGGACAGAGTGCTTCCCTGTGCTCATGACCTTTTAAGGTGAGTTCTGAGGATGTGGGGCAGAGAGGGAGGAGGATGAGGGATTTGTTTTGGAGGAGTGTGAGTGTGGTGACACAGGTGAAGAGACCTGAGAGGAAGCAGGGGAAAGCATTTGGTGACCAAATGACCTATACTGTGAAAAACCTGGAAAGTCCTTATGAAAGGAAAATTACAGCATCATCTAAGAAAAACCAACAAGCAAGTGTTGATAGGAAGGGTAAAAACATTACAGAAGCCACATTTTCACATACATATGTTAAAACCCTAGAAGTAAATAAGCGTGTGTATGATACATGAATACTACATAGAGAGGGCTTTTATTTCATTTTTTGATTACTTGTGGTACTGGGAATCAAACCCAGGGCCTTCTGCATGTCAGAAAAGCACTCTATTGCTGAGCTATATCCTCAGCCCTAATTTTATTTTTTGAGATAGGGTCTCAATATGTAGCTTAGGTTGGCCTTGAACTTGCTGTCTTCCTGCCTCAGTCTCCCCTGTGCTGGGACTACAGTCATGCTACACCACATCTGGCTACAAAGGGCTTTTAAAGGAAGAAGTACGTGGCATAAAGCATGCTGGACAGTGTTCTCCACAGGGGACATGTGACAAAGGTTGGAAGTCTTGATTGTCAGGTGCGGGAGGCAGGCAGTACTGATATCTAGTGGGTAGAGACCAGAGATTCCACTAAATACTGAGGACATACGGAACGGTCGCTGTTATGTTATCCGGACATCAATGATGCTAGCTGAGAAACTCTGTAGACGTCATACTGCTGGAGATCAATGAGCATCTATCTTAACAATAGAGAAGGTCTCCACAACCATAAGCTTCTCAAAAAGTTCAAAGACAAAAGCAAAGAACTATTACAATAATATAACCTAAGGTTATATTCCTAACTGATTCAATGACAAAAAAGAATGTTTCTATATAAAAATGGGTATAAACAGATGATCCTCAAAAGAAACAAATTCTAATGATCAATTTAGTAAGAAACAGATAAATTACGAAAGATAGACTAGCTAATGGTGTGCTAGTTCTCAATCCTCACTATTTATAGTGGTTTATCATACCATCTGTGGTTCTAGGGGTTCACAGGTTAGTGTAGACATGTACACAATTTGGGCAATTCGAATGTTGACTTGTATTAGTTTAAAACCTGCAGACTTTTTGACCAAACAATTTCACCTGTAGAAATGAACCGTTAAGGAAGAATCCAGAAAATGCCCACTTAGAGGACTGGTGCCATTTGCAATAGTGGGCTGACAGGAAGCAAAAAGGAATCTCCCATACTCTGGGGAGAAGTGGTGACTCTCCTGGTCCAAATGAAAACAGTAGGGCTGTTAAGAAAATGTGGTGTACAGACACAATGGAGTTTTATTCAGCCATAAAGAAAAATGAAATTATGTTGTTTGCAGGTAAATGGAGGGAACCAAAGAATATCATGTAAGCCAGGCTCAAAACGTCAAAGGTCGCATGTTTTCCCTCATATGTGAAAGCTGGACCTATAAGTTAAATATATATATATATATATATATATATATATATATAT